AATATAATATATTTTAGAGAGATTCTTTTTTCTAATTGTTTCCCTACCTAACTAACAAGCTGTGAACACTTAATGAATTTCCTGTTTTGTTTTTGTTTTTTTCATTCCAGCAATCAAAACACTGAGCGATTACATGAGAAATTAAACATTTTAGTAAATTGTTCTGAATCCTTAAACATACCATCTGATGTTTATTCAAATTTTTTCGTGCTATAGAGCACAAAACTCAAAATCTCTTTCATTTTCTCCATAGAGAATTGATATTTAATGCTATCTTACAAACCTGTAAATACAGTTATTAATCGATGTTATATGCTTCTGTTAAAGCTGTCATCCCGCATTATGTAAACTTTTTTTTTAATAATTGTTTTTTGGAATTTGTTGTGGAGAAACTACACTACCCATGATTCTGCAGAGGAAGCTCTACCAATCAGAAAATTAACAAAAAATTATGCCCACCCACACCTATGAAGCACTGCAAATGAATCTGTCTTCCTACACTCTCGCAATATTTAAATATTTGTATATATATATGCAGATTGTGAAATAAATTGTTTCTATATACATAATCAATATTTTTAAATCAACAGTTCTATATTTATTCATTTTTATTATGCCATCCACAATGGATTGTAGTCCTTTCCCTCACTAAAAGAATTAAGTACACAGTCTTGCACTTTGTCTTTTTGTCTCATTTAAAAAAAAAAAAAAAATCTTGGTTTAGTTCATGGCTTTTAACTCTGTAATGAAGGCTTTTAAAAACACTGGGAAAAACAAATTCTTCAAGGCGACAGAAAATGTTGGCCAGCACTCTGTAAATAATAGTTAATGCAGAATAGATGCTCAGTTCATGCACGCATGCTGCTGTTTGAACTGAAGCTTCATCAGCGATTTGTCACACCACATTAATGAGTGGTGATTTAATTTAAGAATTTAAATTATTAATTAATTTAATTAAAGTTTCATTGTGACTTTTGACTCAAAACGATAGAGCATGTCACATGTATATGTTTTATTTGTTATGTTTACGTGCGTTCTTTCTGTGTGTATTTGTGATTTAGTACGCAGTAAAACAAGTTCAGGGGAGAAAACGGCAAGAGATGGTTCTAGCCAGCGGGTGCCACGGCAGGTCAGCGCCACCAGGGGGCAGAAGAGCGCCAGGAGCTCAGGCAGCAGCAGCTCGTCTTCTCAGCTCACCTCCAACTGAAGGTCTCCATGAATTAAACAACACATACTAAACTTGCTGAAAATAAGCTCTTTTTTTCTGTCGGAGAAGGTTCCTGTAGAATTGGCAAAAACGTCTGCACTGTAAACAAAAATAGTTAAGTTGCTTTAGGGATCTCCTTCGGGATGTCTTCAGTGTTTCATTGAAGACTTCTTTGCATTAAATCTGCATCTAGCCCACAGAGACTATAGCTGAAGTATGCCATATTTTCCATGGTTTATTTTACACTTTCACACCAAAACCATTTGAGGAAAACACAGATAATCTTTTGCTATCTTTAAACCATCCACTTCTAAAAGCTGAACCACATCTGTTTTAAACCGTGCTTGTTTAAGACACTCTACATTGTCTTGATAGACTGTGATGTCTATATGGGCTTTATTTTCTATTATTTTGATTTGTGAAATGTGCTTTTTTTATGCATTCTTTTTATTGTATTTCTTTTTCTTTTATCCATTTTTTTTTCAAGTACATCTCTCCAATTTTGAGTAAAAATATTCTGGATTTAAAAGCAATTATTGTATGTTGCACTTTAAATCTTTACTTAATGAAGGACAGTTTGTATGCATAAATGCTTTATAAAGCAAAATATGAGAGAGTGTTTTTTTTTTTCTTTTTTCTGGTTTAATTTCTCGATGAGAACTAAGACATAAGCACTTAATTATGCAGTTACTGGAAATATGACTGCTCTCTTCATTCATTCTGACCAGAATGAACTCTTGATCAGCATACTTCATATTCCATGTTGAATGAGATGGAATTTGATGCACTTCCTTTATAGAAGCTGTACTGTGTAAGAAGGGACCAGGGTCAATGGAAGCACTTGTGTGTTTGTACTCTCCCCTTTCTTTACTATATGGTCACACTTGTTGACTTTGTAGGCCAAGGTAAGACCTCTTGCTATTGAGACATGCACAATGGTTAAAGAACTTCTCTTCAGTAATGAGCTGCAGGAATATGAAAATGTTGTTTCAGCGAGAGAGAAAAAAAGAAACGTTTCAAATGAACAACTTGAGAAAGGCATGTTTTAAAGGATGGTAAACACTCAAGTGTTGTATTTTATTTACTTTTTTTTTTATCATAATGTGAAGCCAGTCCAAATGATCAAATACAGAAAAACTAATCACAGAATCACTGCTGGATACACTGGAATTCTGCAAAAACAGGATGAGTTTTAGTTTTTCTTGTAGACTGTTAGATGATTCTTGTTTAATTAGCATTTCATTAGGATTTTGTTTGACATCATAATGTTGGGATCATTAAGATTTTTTTTTTTTTTTAAGAAATTAATGCTTATATTCAGACTATTAAATTGATCAAAAGTGACAGTAAAGTCTTCTACATTGTTGTAAAAAAATATTTAAAGTAAATGATGTTCTTTTGAACTTGCTAATCATTAAAGAGTTTGGGTGTTTTCAACATAGATAAGACATTTCCTAAAACTTTAAAAGTTTTTAAATGAAATCAAAGATAGGAGTACTTTTTACAAAAAAACAAAACAAAAAAAAAACTTTTCTTGATACTTAAAAATGTAATGTTTAATTCTGTGCATTACTTGCCATTTCTTTAAAACATTTTTCACTCAGAAATTACTAAATTTCACAAATAATTACAAAGCAAAATCACTTTTCTCCAGTGTAGAATAATTTTTGAAGGATCATGTGACACTAAAGACTGCAGTACTGGCTAATGAAAATTTAGCCTCTCCATCACAAGAATAAATTACATCTTAAAATGTATGAAAATAGAAAACTGGTATTTTACATCGTAATAATATTTCAGATTATCACTGTTTTTACTGTATTTTTGATCAAATAAATGCAACCTTGGTGAATATGAGACTTTTTTTTAAACATTCAAAAATCTGACAAAAATATACTAACCCCAATCTTTTGAATGATAAAATAATATGAAATTCTGGGGTGGGGATTATAGAAATTGATGTCCCTCCATTGAGATTTTGTTTAAAATTGGGAAATGATAGAATTTCGATCATCATTCTTTTAGAATTGTAAACATTTTTAACCCTTGAGCCAACCTCAACTCAAAGCAGTATAACAGTTTAAAGCAACAAAGCATGTCCAGACGTTTCCATCGGTGAGACAAACTGCTTTGTGTATATATGGCCCAACTTCACTTGGAAGTACATCAGTGGCTTATGCTCTACTTTTCATTGCTAAATGCAAGACGGACAGTCTTTTCTCTTTCAAGGTCAGTGGATTAAAGCGAATTCCTTCAGATGGCACAAATATGGCCATAAAAACATGTCTCATTGCACATGTGTACGTAAGTCTTTCAACAGTTTCTTTATAGTTCATTTGTCAAAAAAAATGATTTTAGCACCTGAATGATTAGTAGGGTTTTCATTTGCCGTTTTAATGGAAAGCAGTTGCGTTTGTAGACTATGGTTATTATCATATTTTGGGGCAAAGTGTGTGTATTTTTTTCCCCCCCAAACAGGCTTCTCAAAAACGGTCAGATGTTTTTGTGTATTGATCTCTCTGTGTACAGTATGTATGCAGTGAGCAGACCATGAAAGGATGGATGGAAGGGTTGCGAGGGGATTTATGGTATATGAATCCAACGGTGATATCGCTGGATTTTTAAAGAGCATGGGCCATAAGTAAAGAACAGAGCACTGCTCATGAGGGGAATAGAAAACAAAAGCTTTTGTTTGCCAGACAGAGAGGTATGAGGACAAAGACATACACTTGTGGAGAAAGCAAAAAAGAAAAGAGCTTGAGGGGCTTGAGCTAAAGAAAATAGGTGTGTGCACGAGCGGGGAATGAGGCGAGAGAGGTTCAAACCTCGAGAGAGAGAGAGAGAGAGAGTGAAAGAGGTGAGCTGGAGGTTTTAATGTGGCCGTTTGTCGTGTTTATGTGGCTGTGGCGCTGCTTTCTCCTGCTCTTTATATTGATGGCAGTGCAGCCAGGCTGTAATTGATGGCGGCATATTGCTGTACTCCGGCAAGTGTAATGGGCCGAGACACAGAAGCAGAGAGCACAGCAGGAACCCTCTTTAACCCTTTATGTACTCACACACTCAAACCCTGAAATGTGTGTGTGTGTGTTTGTTTGTGTCTGTAGGGAAGGAGACGGGTGCCACATTTCAACTACAGGTAGATTAACTTCTCTCCCTATTTTGTAACCCAACGTTTGCTTTAAAACATTAATTATCAATTCAGAACACCTTGTGCGTTGTGCAAGTTATGAAGCTGCACAAAAAAAGACGGTTCTTCCCTTCTGTAGAGCTCTGCTGCCATAAAACAAAATGCATATAATGTTACATTGTTTAGTTTACTTGTCTGCTTTGTTCAGATGTACTTTAAAGTGATCTGAGTACTGGAAAGCTATATGAATCAAACCTATTTTGGTGGAACTGGTGGAAACAGTCAGTCATGTGATCTCAGCATGGCAGCATGAAGGGACAACCAACTTTTATTAGGCTACTGATATGACTAGTTATTCATTTGAAATGAGTGCATATCATTTTGAACATTTGTCAAAAGTTCTGAGTACAAAAGAATACTGACTGAGCATATTTCTTAAGAAATATTTTGGGTTAAATATGAATTCACTTTTAACTGTTAACCGAAACTGTGACCGCTACACCTGCTAAAATAAATAAATATAATATTTTATTTGTTTTTATAAAATATTATTTAAAAAAAATCATATTTAAAATATTTTTATTTGTTTACACAATTTTAATGGTTTACTTCATTTGTCTTGGTGAAGGCTACCAGTGCACAGAATAAAAAAAAATACAAGATATAAATAAGTATAAATAATATTTTGAGTATTGCACTTTTTGAATACCCAACTTGGAAGCATTTTAACTCTTCTTGAGTTAGTTTCTAGCCTTTTTTCACTAATCTGGAATATTTCTTTAAGACATTTAATAACTGAAACTGAAAGTATCTGCTTAATTGTATTTTTGGTAAGTGATATGAGTGACTCTCTCTCTCTCTCTCTCTCTCTCTCATAGTTTGCCACAGCTCTGTACTGTACTAACTGGAAAAAAAAAGGTGAATCTTGTTTGGGTGGTTACCTGCGTTCCCAAATCGCCAATAGGAGGCAGTGTGTCTCTACTGGCACTTCAGCGCTTGGATGGTGAGATTGTTGGTACCTCATTTCCCCCCTCCACATATGCCCTGCCTGTGGCATCATGCTTCTATGTGTGAACATCTTTGGCAGCGTGGAGAGGCAAGGGCCCGTCAGCCAGCACGCTCCCACTGCTGTGAACATATTTGTTTGCTTGACTGTTTGTTTCTATTTCTGAGAGTTTGACTTAACCTTAGTCATTAGCAGGGCAGCTTTATGGTAATGTTCATTGTTTATTCGCATGTTTATTCATGGGACTGTATGCTTCCATAGTGGTGATAGTGATAATTTATTCAGAGACGAGATCTCTTAAAATATATCATATCATAAGTCAAGGCTTATAACTTAACATGATAATACTATAACGCCAATGAACAAAACTGTTAAACCACTAGCTAATCATAAAACACACATTATATACTTTTTATATATACATAGGAAAATACATTTGTCACAATATCCAAGCGTGAACGAGCAACAAAGAACTGTAGGCCTGTCTGTACACTCACACAGTAAATGAAAATGAAACTAGCCGTCCTTTTCAATATCCAGCTGACATCCTTATCAAACAAACGTATTTACTGTATAAGAATTCATTCTCTCAGTTTGAATACTTGGAAACAATATTGTGCTTGCTGTATCTCAGAGCACACAAACTAATCAAAAGTGCTCCATGTGTTCACCAGATAATGACTAGTGAATAGATCTCCTCTTGGAACGCATTGTTATTTACACAGTTTACGAAAACATGCTTTATCCAGCTCTATTTGCAGCAGTTGTTTAATAATGATTCAAGAAAAGTCAGCTGTGCAAAAAACAAAAAAAAAAAAACAAAGATAGATTGAGCCCATCATTGCATTCGTTGACAAAATCACTTAACTTTATTACATGGTTCTTTCATGAACAGTGCATATAATTGTATTAGATATTCCTACCAATAGCACGCCTGTGTGAAAGAATTGATTTTTTTACGAGAAATTGATTTGATTGATTGATTGATTGCCTGTGTGAAAGTATTTTTTACGAGAGATTGATTGATTGATTTATTGATTCGCCATGCCAACAAAAATATTTCAAAACCAAGCCGAAGCAACACTCAACAGCTTTTTAGTTCTTGAGTCAGCGTTTTTTAGCAAATTGATTCAGTGGATTTAATGATTCACTAATAAAAAGTGTGAATTTGTGGCTGTATCAAATCGGCATACTTCAATACTATATAGCAGCTATATAGAAAAACATGTTGAAAGAGTTTGTCTAAATCTACAGTATTTATAAAAAAGTAGTCAAAAAAAAAAACAGATGGAACCTGTCTGAATTCAGAATAGCATATAGCATACTACACTTACTATTTCTGCATGTAAAGATATGTAGAAATAGTTAGTATTATAGTAAATGGAGTATTATGCCAGTATTCTCTTTCTGTTGAGAAACTTGTTTAGCTTTCGTAAGAATCCATGTTTTTGAACTGATTTGGTTTAGTGATTCAATACTCATACGTTTCATATCTGAATGAATCAGTGTTTTTTGAACAAATTAATTCAGCGAATGATTCAGAAAAAATCACTGAAAAATCCCTGTGCCCAGACTGACAAAACTGCTTGTTTTTTTTTTTGTATCACAATGAAACATCTAAAGCAAAAGTGTAGAAACCAGCCTCTGATTTTAAATCTTAAAGCTGATCTGTTTTGTCTCTCGATGTGTTTTCCCGCTCCATCCGTCTCACCCTCATCCACTTTCTGGCATTTCCCCAGGTGTTGAGGCCGAGAGAGGAAGTGCTATTTTTACTAGTCTGAGCTCACACCTTTCTCTCGCTCCCTTCCCTCCCCCTCCCCCTCGGTGTGAGGAATATGAGGCACGGATGGGTCTGACGAGAGAGGCCTGAATTTTGCACGCACACACATATGCTTTCAGCCCTCCATCAGCTTTTGATTCAAACCTATGAAGGTATTCAGGTGTCTCGCAACTACTGTGAGTTTTTTTTTTGTCTGAGACCCTTTTCCTTTCGTTTAATCATAATTTTCTCCGTTTTCTTTTTGTTGTACTAGTCTGTAGACTTTAGCATACTAATGCTTTCTCTCTCCCTCTCTTTCCTCATGTATGTGCCCTTCCACTCTCCCTCTCCATTACTGTGCGTCTGTAGATGCAGTTTCTGCACACATTCTGGCGTGCTTATCGGAATGCGAGTGCTGATTGTTGGCCTGTCTCTCAGTTTGACTGACAGCTCCGGCTTTGCGGCAGAACGCCTGATTTTGTCAATGTTTGTCTGCGAGGCCTTATCTCCAGAACCTTATATTAACTGCCTCGACAGTGTAGCCAGTCTCGCTTTCCCTCTTCTTATTTCATCCTCCCTTTTCCTCCTTTCTCCTTCAACATCCTCCCTCCTTCCATTTTTCATAGACTGACACTGTATCAGTAGTTGTTTATTTAAAAGACTCCAGTCTGTTAATGACTCATTTCTGATTGGGATGGTTAACATCATGCGTATCATGGTTCTGGTTTGATCCAGTCTCGTTTTTAAGATTTAACGATTGCTGAATGGCGGGATATAGAGGTGAGAAGTGGGTAAATCAGTGTTTCCATGATCTGTTTAGAGTAGATCCAGAGGTTAGCAGATCGCTTCACACTTAGTGAAATCCAATATGCTTCCAATTCTAGTCCTCTGAGTCAATGAGTGGACAGACACGATATTACAGTCATCGAGATTAAACAATTACATTCAATTAACACAACTCTCTCTTACGCGCGATGATTATCATGTTCCATCAACCATAGATTTTAGGTTAAAATCTATATGAATTTATTTTAGAAAGTGCAAATCTAACTGATCACTTCTTTTCTACACATCCCTTGAAATCAAAATATTTTTTAGTCCATTCTCAGTTTTGAGGTCATCTTGAATATGTTAGTGTAATCCTAATGGTTGATTAAATTTAACAGATTTACGGTATGATTTTTTTAAGTCTCTTATACTCACCAAGGCTGTAATTTATTTGATCAAAAAGCAGTAATATGACAATTAAACTAACTGTTTTATCTGTATATCTATTTTAATATATCTTAATTTATTCCTGTTTTGAACAAGACCATATGGACAATGCACCGACATACAGCACCATTGCGCTACGGGCGTCCCGAGTTCGAATCCCGACTCGACGACCTTTCCTGATCCCGCCCCCTATCTTTCTCCCACTTCACTTCCTGTCAGCTCTGATCTGTCCGGTCACAATAAAGGTGAAAACAAATCATTCTAATATGCTGATTTGGTGCTGAAGTAACATTTATAATTATTTTGAAATGTCCTCCTAAAACGGTTGTGCTTCTTATTATTTTTGGGGGAAATGTGATCCTTCTTTTGCATGATTCTTTGATAAATGGAAAGTTCAAAAGAATAACATTTATTTAAATAGTGTTTTTTTAACAATGTAAAAATATTTACTGTTACTTTTGATCAATTTAGTATTAATTTCTTTTAAAAGTAAATTATCTTACTGACTTTAAACTTTTGTACAGTACTGTATACGTGATCCATGAATATTGATGACTTGTCCTGCACTAAAAAGTCTATCTGAAAATCTGAAACTGTTATTCTAATAGCACCTGGATTCATGATTAATAGCTGTTCTAGCATATTTTTTGTGATCTAACATATTTTTATAAAAATAAATAAACAAATAAAAGTTCAGAATAAATTAGTTCTGTCCAAACCTTCTGTTTCAGTAGGAAGTATGTCAGCACAGTAAAGAAAACTGTGCCTGTCAAGCGGTTTCATGTTTTTCGCATGTTTCATGTTTTTTCCCTAGGTTTTACATTTTTATTCATCTTTATCAGTTTTAAATATTCCTGTGGTGTGAGTGACAAATGGATTTTTAAAAGTGAATATTTAGTCTTTCAATTAATAGAAGGTCATAAGCTGCATACATAATAGTTATAAAATAATTAAAATGCTGTTTAAAATAGTTTAAGATGTTGAATTCAAGTATTTCATTTAAACTACCCACATATATAGAGCCAGAGTGGCAATCAACACAAATTAAAAGGACATATATTGAGGTCTAGGCACTTTTGAGAAACATCCTTTATGTGTCACAAAACAGCAGTTTCATTAAGACCGCAAAGCTGTGATTGAGTAAACTGCATTTAGACTCTGTTTTATTAAACAGTGATTTAAAGATTTCAGTTCTATTTCCACACTCATACGCTCTCATTTTTGTAAAAGACACTGTTGACAACTGTCTAATATGTGTACTCACAGTCTAAATGTGCTTCTGTTTGCTCAATTATTGCTTCTGCTTTTTTTTTTTATCATATTATATGGCTGTCTGTAATACATGACATGTAATACATATATATAAAATATATAACTGACCGCTGGCCCAGACAACTGATTTTCATACATAGTTGTGCTAGTTTCAGGTCTCTTTTTATTTGTTTATGTTATAATAATTTCAAGTAAATTGCTATTTCATGTCCATATATTTCTTTAGCCGTGCAATAAGCAGGATAATGAGCAGTCAGCTGGTCATTATTGCAAAATATCCCTTTAGAGTGATACAAGACCCCTCTATTTTGTTTTGGGGTCCTGATCACCCTGTCAAGGTTCTTGCATATTAAATTGCCTTTTTTGTTCAAGTCCAGTTTGTGGCATTCAAATTCTTTCAAAACCATTTGTCAAGGACATGAAAGACTAAGCAACTTTGTGTATGTTTCTTAGCAATTATTGTGTTGAAAATAGTTTCTTTTTAAATAAATGCATGAATATGTTTGATGTAGCAAAGATGTTATTGTCTTTATTTCAATTTCACACAGTCTGTGTTCACATTTCATATATTTTATAAAAAAATGAGGGTAAAAGGATTTCCTAGGATTCAAACCCACAACCTTGGCATTTCCAGACCTTGTGTGTCTATCTACCTTGTCTGTATGTTTTATTTTTAAAATGAACGCACTCTGTTACCCCGTATTAAATATACAATTAAAATAACAGAATAGAAAAAGTAAATACTTTTAACAGTGTGAGGGTTCACGAGCTGCTACTTATAGGTAACTTATAAACAAGGTGGAAAAGTGGGAATTTAATCACTCGGTAATTAAAAAAAAAATTAAAAGGTGTTTGGAGACCCTGCATTAAAAGACTTTCATTCATTAACCAGGTTGAGAGTGTAAGTCTGTCTTTGTCCTGATTATATTTTTAGGCCATGTTTCTGATTTTAAATCTGTATGCGCTTTAATTTATCCAATTAAGCTTGTGTACTCATTACCTCTGAGCTTACTGAACGCTGATTACACGTGTAGTGCCGTCTATGCAAATTGAGGTGCAAATCTAATGCATTGCGTGGGATAAATTAAAAGGGATGGTTTTAAAAATATCTTTCAAATCTGTTGAGATCACTTACAGAATTCAGGACTTAACATTTTACAAGTTTAATGCTTAAAGAGGTTATATTTTGCCACTTCAATCCCAAAGCACCAGGGCCGTACGTGCCACAGACAGCAATATTCAGATTAGTGGTCAACACATTCTGAAATTATTAGCCATAATCTCAAATATGCGGTTTTACCTTTGTAACATACCAATAATTTATTGATATTAAATCTACTGTGACACATTATTTCAACTCCATCTCATATGCATACTTTTTCCACATTCACATATAGGCTAATTTGAACAGAAAACCAAGTAAATTCTGGTTGCTTCGTTTTTGGTGTTCCGTAATAAAACACACTAAAGCAGAAAAATAAATGTCATTGACTAATGGCATTTATCTTTCACAACATGTTTTATGCCAACCCTCTTAAAATGTTTTTGGGGTGGAGTTAATGGAGGTCAAAGGTCAGTGCAAAAAAAATGGCTAAAAACGAGCAAATATTATAACACAGGAAATTTTGTTCTTTTTTTCAAGATGATATTTTTCCTAATAACATTTGAAATGTAGACCTCAATGAGGCTGTTAAGTGTAAACATAATGACATACTGATAAGCACTGTTTGAGGAACTGTTTGAACCATGTGCTGTTTTGTTTATTATTATGTCACTCCGTTAAAAACTATGTCAGAAAAATCTAACCATTATTTTTAAAAAGGTAATGTC